TGGGATCTCTTTCAGGAGGTGATCAGTGCATTCTTTCAATGACTAATTTACCCTTTGGTTCTAGGACTTCAGGGCAGTTTTCTTTGATGATTTTCTGAAAGATACTGTCCAGGCTCTTTTTTTTTTTCATTGTGATTTTCAGGTAGACCAATAATTTTTTTAAATTGTCTCTCCTGCATCTATTTTCCAGGTCAGTTGTTTTACCAATGAGGTATTTTACATGTTCTTCTATTTTTTCATTCTTTTGTTTCTCTTTGACTGATTCTTGCTCTCTCATAGAGTCATTAGCTTCCACTTGTCCCACTCTAATTTTTAATGAGTTGTTTTCTTCTATTAGATTTTGTACCTCCTTTTCCATTTGGCCAATTCTACTTTTTAAGGACTTGTGTTCTACAGTTAATTTTTGTCTTTCCTTTCCTGAGCTATTGACTCTCTCTTGCATACCTGTCATTTCTTTTCCCAAGTTTTCTTCTACCTCTCTAATTTGACTGTTGAAATCCTTCTTGAGCTCTTCCAAGAAGGCTCTTGGGGACGGAGGTTTCTGATGTGGATATATTGGCAATGTTGTCCTCTTCAGAATTTGTGCTTCCCTGTTCCCATACTAAGAATTTATGGTCATTTTCTGTTTCTGCTTTTTGCTCATGGCATTTGCCTATTTCCTGACCAAAAAAAAAAAAAAAAAAAAAGGTGAGTTCTCCTGCTGGAGCTAAGGGGGAACTTACCCAACCTTCTTTTCCTTCTCATCTGGGCTTTGCACTTGACTATTTGACTTATGCTCACCTAGGCCTTGTGCAGGGATGTTTTGCTGCTGGTGGATGTTTGACAGCCTGGAGTTTTGCCTCCTGGAGCTGTGCTTCCCAGAGTTATATTGAGGCACAAAGTGGAGGCTGCTGGAGAATGCCATACCACATGGTGGTTTTCCAAGCTGGTGTCTATCAGTTCCCCTACCTGTATTGAGGCTCTCAGGGGTGGGGGGGATGATGTTGGCACTTGCTTTCTCTACCAACCTGGGTCTCAGGATCTCCCCCTGGTATGCTAAGGTGGAGCTTGCAGCTGGCTTGCTGGGATGCCTCCTATCCCATACTGCTTCTCCTCCCCCAAAGAGAGAGGAGCCTTTCCTGTTAACCCCACAACCTTCCTGGGCTATAAGACTATAGCACCCTGTCTTTTTGCTGGCTCAGGGTTTTTCCTGGGTCAATATTTTCTGGGCTTTCAGAAGTCAGTGAGGGACTTATGATGGTGAGAGTGACTTACATCTCACTCTGTCATCTTCTATTTTCTGTCTTTCAAAAAAATGTGAGCTCTACTGCTGGAGTGCAGGGGTCATTGACCCAGGCTTCTTGTGCTGGGACCCCAGGACCTAGTCACTGGCTTTGTGTGCTGGAGCCTCGGGTGCTAGCAGTTGGAGGCTATAGGGTTCTGGCAGCTTATCGGATGCTGGGCTGGGGTCAGCAACACTGGAGCTCTTGGGGTGGGGATGGGGAGTCTGGCCCCTGGTGGATGCTTGCTCACATGAGCCTTGTACTCCTTTGTTAGTCAGCCTGGAGCTTTATCTCCTGGAGTTGTATTTACTGGAATTGTGCTGAAGCACTGGAGATTTGACTGCTGCAGGACACCATACTACATGGTGATTTTCTGAGCTGGTGTCTACTGGTTCTCCTGCCTGTACTGAGGAGCTTGAGGGGGTCCTGGTGTTGGTGCTTGCCTGCTTCACCACCCTAGGGCTCAGCATCTCCCTCTGGTATGCTGAGGTGGTGCTTACCGCTGGCTTGATGGGATGCCTTTCATTCTGTACTGCTCCCCCTACTCCAGAGCAAAAGGGGCCTTTCCTGTTATTCCCCAAGCTTCCTGGGCTACAAGACTCTGCACCCCTTCTTTCTGCTGGCTCAGCTGTTCTAGGGTTTTTTCTGGGGTGATATCTTCTGGGCTTTCAGAGGTCAATAAGGGAAGGTGAGAGTGACTTACTTCTTACTCTGCCATCTTGGCTCCTGGAAGCAAAAGTCCAAGAATAATTTTAAAGATGCAATTTTTTAAAAGTTATCTTTACCTTTTGATAGCCTTTTACTCCCTTTAGCAGCATAGGAAACTATTGATTTTTGGACACTGTTAGCCAGAAAAATAAGTTAAAATAAGAAATTAAGTCTTAGAGTAAAAAATTCAAAATGATATGCTATAGTAAAATCTAGCTCCTCTAATAAAAGTCTCCAGTAGATATTTACAAGGGTGCCAATTGAAGCAAAGAGAAGTAAGAGGAAATGGATACATCAGTAAGGTGTTCCATCCAGTCCAAGACTCCACAAAAGGACAGCCTGTGGATGCTGGGGCAGTGGTGCACCAAGGTAGCCTAAAGCCAGTGGGATATAATCTTTGACCTGTTAAATTTGTAGTATGGAAAAAGCAAGTGTGGCATCACACATTTCTGTTATTTTTTTTTAATATTTTGATTTTGTTTTTCATGTTATTGGATTGCTGTTTTCTTTCTGGACCATTCTATTTTCAAAGTATTCGGTACTCGAGCAAGGTTTTCAATTATCTGTTCTAAAATGTCCATTTTGGGGGGCTATTTTTTTCTCCCTTAGCTATAGCATTTTGTTGATCTTGATTCATTTTTTCTAGATAATCCTGTAATCCAATAGCCAGGATACTTTTCCTCTGGATTTTTATCTGGAATTATGGGATTTCTACACTTTGGGGGGTATATGACTCAGATGTCTCTCAAACTTAGACATTTCCTCATGGTATTCAAAGTTTTCCTTGGTTTGCTTGGATTACTTAGTATATAGTGCTTGAGTAAAGCTACATAACTGAGTACCATATGGAAGGTATACCAACTACTGAATATAATGGCCCAGACTAGGTTGCTTTTTCAAGGGACTTAGAGGCTAGTACTGGGAACTGTGTGGGAACTTAAACTTGTCACAGGGTGACAAGACTTCCCTGAACTATAGGCTATGCCTGGGGTCCTCCCCCTTCTTAAATTACTGAGCCCAGAGACTACTTTCATGCTGGGTTCCCACAACAGGCTCAAAGTCTACTGGGGCTGCGTATTTTGCCTATGGTCTTTCTTCTATAGCTGTTCTTGGGCTATTAGTGTCTTGCTTGTCCCATTCTGTATGCCCAAAATGCCCCCCATAGGCCATCCTAGAATGACCCAGAAGTAGCTCATCTTAGTTTGCTTAGCTCCTGCTGCCACTGGCGTCAGTGGATATGGTTGGAATAGGGCCTTACCTAAATAAAGGATCAGAAAGGGAGTTCTAGAACACCACCTTCACTCTGTCCTCTGTGCTCCACCCTCAACCTACCCAAGATTTTCTATATAAATATTTTTGCAGGATTCAAGGGGTCCCTCTACGGATAACTGAGTTGGTTGGGGAAAATCCATATATGATATATTCCATTTCTTACCAGAGTGGTTCATCTCTAAGCTCCAGTGAAATGTTTTCTGGGGATATGGATATATCCTAACCTGACAATGTCTTCCCACTCTGCTGTTCAATGAGTATTCATGGATCTTCACCATCATCCTTGGAGCATTTTGTATGCAGCTCCCCTAATTGGTGGAGATAATGTTGACTAGACCCTTAGTGATGCAGTTGGAACATGACATATAGGGCCTCTCTCTTAATTGCACTGAATTATCTCACAATCAAACACCCATGAGAAAGGTCCAGACCTCTCTTGGTTGAATTGGAATTCTCTTTCCTGGAAGATCTCAAATGTATTTCCTGATATATTCTAATCTGTAGAACATCTGTAATTTCTGTTTGCTATTTGCTTAGATAAATGGGTTTATTTGTGATTCATTAATTATAATGGCCTGTTTGTGCATGAAATCTGCATTTGATGGGAAGAGGTAAAGGTAGTAAGAATGACCTAAGGCCTACTGTTCTCCATTTTAAGCAACTTTTTGTTCTGAAAAAAAATCTTCCCCTGGACCACCCATCTTTAGGAGGGTCAGATAAATCTGATTCTGATCCAGGATCCTCTCCTTCGGAGAAGAATGGTTTAATTGACCTTGTGGCTCTCTCTAATCTCTTCATGGGAATAATCAAACTCTCCCCAGTAGAGAGATGGCTAAGCTTCCAGAGATGGCTAGCAATGCCAGCTGTGAACTGTGTGTAGACAACTCATGTGGACATAGATATTTTTCATTGGTTGTATACCCCTTATAAAAATAAATGTGCGTAAATTATGAACACTTTTATATCTATTATCAGCAAAACCCAGAAAAAAGAGATAGAGATATTTCATTTTTTTTAAACCACAGAATGTTTAAAATAGTTAAAATTAGGAGAGAAATGGGTATCTGGGGAAAATATTTGTAGCAAGTTTCTCTGATAAAAGTCTTAACTTTCCAAGATATAATTCAAATTTATCAAAACAAGAGACATTTCCCCAAAAGAGTAAATGGTGAAAGGATAAGAATAAGCAGCTTTCAAAGGAAGAAATTCAAACTATTATCAACCATATGAAAATGTCAGCTTTCTCAATCCCTGGTTCTGGGATGATAATGGTGGCCTATTTAAGACATAAGACTAAAGTAAGATTTTTTTTGTACATCCATATAAGTATAATACATATGCACATGTATCTATAACCACATTATATTGATAAATGGAAAGATATGCAGACAGATAGAATATAGATGATAGTGGAATGAAAAAGACCTGGACTTGAATTATACCTCTAGCAATTTCTAGTCATTTCACCACAGGCAAGTGATTTAACCTGAGTCTGTTTCCTCATTTATAAAATGTGGATACTAATACTTACTAGGTATTTAAGAGGGTCAGTTGACCTAATGCATATATATGTGTACATTATTGTATACAGTTATAATATATGCATGTATACACATATAAATACATGTACATATATATATACTAAATATTTGCATATATGTATACATCTATGTATATGAATATTAGACTTAGTCTATCCTGGACATTAGACAGGTGAGAATGGTGTCTAGGATTTAAGGCAAGGTGCTGCTTTAGAATCCTTTGATAGCTCAGTGGGTAGAGCAAAGGACTATAGAAACAGATGATCTGGATATCCTTAGGTTGCTAGTTCAAATCTAGCTCAAAGGAGGTGATGCCATTTGGCTAGCTAGGTACTGCAGTGGACAGAGTGCTGACCCTTAAGTCAGGAAGACTCATCTTCCTGAGTTCAAATCTAGCTTCAGATACTTAATAGCTGTGTGACCCAGGTCAAGTCACTTAACCCAGATTACCACACTTTGTTGATCTATATAATGAGCTGGAGAAGGAAATGGCAAACCTTTCCAGTATCTTTGCTAAGAAAACCCAAAATGGGTTCACAAAGAGTCAGATGCAGCTGAATAGCAATAATAACAGCTCTACAGGTTAGAGGTAGGGGACAGAGTCATTTTGGATCAAGAGAACACAGAAAAATATTAGATCAGTACTAAGGCTGGAGAAGGTACAAAATTCAAGGGAGTGAGCAAATGAAAACTGAATGTTTATCTTCTTTTCAATCATTGCTAGCATTGTAATTTCAGACCATTATCTTGTTCTTCAGAAATAAACTGGTCATCATGTCAGTTGGTTGCAAGAAGTGGTCGTTAAGGGATAAGAGTAAGGAAGAGGAGAATAAGGTATTATACAAAGTGGTAATAATGAAAGAGCCCTTTCTTACATAAAAAAGTAAAAATAAAATGAGAATTAAGAGTCAGAGATGCTTTTTGGAAATGGGAAGTGATGCTAAAATATAATCTACTAACAGATGTGAAGAAATCAGGTGAAATTAGAGAAATTTTCAGGATAGAGATTTGCTAATGGAAGTAGTGGAAAGAGAGAAAATCAGTGTATTTTCTCAACTACTTCAATTTTGAGCTCACTTTCTTTTCTTGGCAAACTGACTAGAGAGTCCTAAAAATTTGGAGAATTGTAATTTTCTAAAATACTAAAAAAAATTACATCAAAAGATGCAGTCCTTAGCAGGAGGATGATATCTTCCATCATGTCAGAGATTTCCTTTTTGTGTCTCTTAGGAAACATTATCTCTTGTCACCTCCATGCAGGCATTAATTGGATATATGGAACACTAAATGACTGAGCTGTGCTATCTCTTTTTATGTGAAACCATTCCCGAGTATTTATTTAACACTACCCTTATAGTGCTTCACATCCTCTCCTGGGATCTGAGAATGATTTGTTACAGTCCTCAATTTGATCTGAATGGGAGAAACTGTAGTGGACTCTGAGAGGACTTATATGCTTCTGCTCTCTGATCCCAATAGAGAATGATTACAAGCCTGGAGTATTGGCAATAAACCTCTGTCAGGATTTGGACTTGATCATCTCCCCTATATTTCAAATGTTGTCTCTAATTCTGAGTGCATCTCTGGAAAATAGAAAAGGTAAATAATGAAAACGGATACCCAGAGTGCTCTTGTTCAGTCATGTAACATGCAAATGATCAAACTAAGCCCAGGAACAATGTAACTTGTTACTTGGTCTAGAGATTTATCTACCAATCAGTGCTCCCCTTTGAAATATGTTTTTAGAAGCAATTTAGAGGAATGAAGCTAAACTTGAGAAGCTGATATTTGAGAAGATTTCACCTGGAGCTGTCATCAAACATTTATCAAAAGGTTTGTAATTGTGGTATAAAACCTTTTTTTATCTACTAATAAAAGAGAAAAGTCTGGATAGATTCAAGAAGGACTGGGATAAATTATTGGATGTTAAAACATTTTATAATTGAGTACAAACAGTGATAAATATGGATCCAAAAAGACCTGGGTTTGAGTTTGACCTCTGGCATTTTCCTAGGAAGTCATTCAAACTCTATGAATTTCTTTCCTCATTTGTACAATGTGGATACTGATGCCTCACAAAGTTTTTTTATAAAGCATAATTGAGATAACCCATATAAAACTCTTTGAAAACCTTAAAATACTACATTAATATCAGCTATGCTAATACTTAGAGTGAAGTTGGGCATTTTCAAGAGATAGTGCTAAACTGTGAGAATTACATCCATATTTCATACTAGCATGGTTTCTTACAATATCATCAGACCGTACTTGATGAAATGAATTGCTATGTGTGCCAGGTACTATGTTAAGGGCTTTATAATGTTTATTTTATTTAATCTTCACAACAACCCTGTGAGATAGGTGATATTATATTATTATTCCTATTTTACAGATGAGGAAACTGAGGTAAACGCTGGTTACATGACACACCCAGGGTTCCATAGCTGAGGTCAAATCTGAATTCAGGTCTTCCTGAATCTATGTCCCATATTGTATCCACTGCACCATCCAGCTACTCATTGCTATGTACTCCTTAGAGAGGTTATGAGTTCTTCCTCCTTGAAAGTCTTCAAGCAGAAGCTGGATGACCTCTTTCCAGGTATGTTATAGTTGTTTGAAATTTCACTAAAAACCTTAGTAAAGTTTTCATCCTATTAAAAAGGTCCTTTGGGGTAGATAATACTTTAATATTTTTGATCATTTATGCCTTTGTGTAAATGACAGGAGAGTATATTTTGGGAGAGTAAAAAGGAGAAGACGAGCACACTGGGTTTTTCAGTGGAGATGGAAAAACAGGTGAAAAGTATGTAGATAAAAATTCATAGCAATCATTGCTCATGGGAACATTTCTTATTTATAAATCAATGTTCCCACAAATACTTGTATGTGCATGAAACATTATATGAACATGAGTCATTATGAATGTAGCCAGCCTTTGGAGTAGAGAGACTGGATTTATGAAAATCTTACACTGTCAAGCAGAGAGATGGGGTGAAGTTTAAGGAAAGGAGAGTAGGAACAGGAGACCATTAAGAAGAAAAATAACATATTATATGCACACTTTTTGATATGTTAAGTGGATATGAAAGCTTAACATGGCTCATAATGCAATTAAACAGACGGAAATAAGTAATCATTCCACCCCTAGCATCTATTTCTTGCTCACTGTGCTCTGACACACAAATAGCAAACAATGTTCAGGTAGGTAGGGAACTAGGCTAAAGCCTTGCAATCAGCAGGGAATCTACTTGTTTATCTCTACAAGTGAGTCTCAATTTATTGCCCCAAGAAAAAGTAGTTTGCTTAAAAAGAGATCAAGTTGTTTGGTTAAGAGATTTCAGGGAACAATAAGAAGAAATAATTTAAGAATGATAACTTCATTCTTGAATATTTCATTCTGTTTGGGGTGAGCAGCTTTATATATACTCCTAATACAGGTGTTCTTAACCTAGAATTCATTAACTTAATCTTTAAAATATTTTGATAATTTTGTTTCAATATAATTTATTTCCTTTTGTAATCCTATATATTTTATTTTATGCATTTAAAACTTTATTCTAAGACATGGTCCATAGGTTTTATCAGGATGACAAAGGTTTTCACAGCACACAAAAATTTTAAGCACTATTTGTAATATTCTCAAGCTGATAAGATTATTTAATATATGAAATATCCCGTGACATTACACACAATTCCCAATGTTGCCCTTGTCTAGTAGATTTCCATGTCTCATACTGCTTCTTCTCCTTGTAACCAGCTTAAATAAATAAGAATCCTAAACTAGCAAATGAGGGATGTAGCTTTTATTTAAAGATGAATTTATTTAATATAAGGATTGTGGGCAATGAGAATGAGTTATGAAAGAATGCCCTTTTTATAGAACAAGTAGATTTAAGCAGAGAAGAATGAATGCCTTATCAGTTTATATATATTTAGCTAAATTCTTGTCTAAAGAAAGAAATTATTATGACAATTCCCTTACAGATATCATCAGATGTGGAGTGGTATTACCTTTTTTAATCATAATCTACCTCAACTTGATGTTAGAACCATATTTTTTTTTCATGCTTTGTGTTTGGGTAAGTTATTGGCCCAGTCTAAAAGGAAGAGGGAAGAGACATGGAAAATAGAATGGCAAGGAAATAATGAAAGACAAGCAAAAATATGGTGTAAAATAGCAAATAAAGCAGTTGGAGAGAAAAAGAGTTAAAATAATAAAATGGGAGATTAAAGAGATATGAGCATATATTACATGCCCAGCACTGCACTAAATATTGTAATTGTGAATTCAAAAGCAAGAATATGTTAGACATTCTTGTAACACCTGTGTTACAGCAGTAGGCAGATACTAGATTTCATTAAATATTTGTTAACTTGATATTTTTAAGAAAGAAAAGAGGGCATATAAGTGTAGCTGGAAATGAGGGAAGAATGAGGGCAGAGAGATATAGAGGGAAGCAAATTTTGAGACAAGAAAATAAAGAAATATAAGATAGAGATATGGTGGAGGGCATCAGAGAATGCTTTCTTTTAATCATAACTTGAAAAAATAACTGCTAAGGTTTTTCAGGGATTTTAGCAATTGACCTCAACTTTGAAATAGTCTGATTTCCATAGAAGCCTTGCTCTAAAAGATCCCATGGTACTACTTTGTTTCTAATTCTTTACCATTTTTTTCCCAAAGGAGGCCATAAACAAAATGATAAGATTTTATGGCAGGAAGGAAACTGAAAAGTCCAACTTTTTTAAAGCATGCTTATCATTGAAGAATTCTTGAACTGAAGGCTTTTTATTTTTTATTTTTGTCTCAAACATTATTGGGGAAAAAGGAAACCCACAGAAAAGATGAACAAGATATACAATGTCAGTTCCAGAAGATATTTCATCCTGGTGGGTTTCTCTGACCAGCCTCAGCTGGAGAATGTACTGTTTTGGGTTATCCTGATTTTTTATTGCTAGACCATTGTGGGTAACATTACCATCATCCTGATTTCCTCCCTGGAACCTAGACTCTGTACACCCATGTATTTCTTCCTCTCCAATCTTTCCCTACTAGAGCTCTGTTTCACCACCAGCTGTGTTCCTCAGATGTTGGTCAATCTCTGGGGGCCAGAGAAGACAATCAGTTACATTGGTTGTGCCATTCAACTATGTGTTTTCTTGTGGCTTGGAGCCACTGAGTGTATTCTACTTGTTATTATGGCTGTTGATTGTTCTGTGGCAACCTGTCTACCACTACGTTATGTCTCCATCATGCACCCCCACCTCTGTCTTCAGCTAGTAATTCTGGTGCAGAGAAGTGGCCTG